AAAAAAAAATAGAATAAAAATTTATTTGTATGTATATAAATGAAAATAAATTGCAAAAATATTTAAAAGAAAACGAATGCACATTAAAGAAAATGTAAAAGCCAGTTCCTTGACTACTCGCCACATCGCCGATGCTCAGCAGCTACATGCGGTTCATGGTACAATTTTAGTCAGTGCATGTGTAGAACAGAAAGTCCCATGGGACAGGGTCGCAGAAGCCTACCCCCTGCAAGCTTGCAGCTCCTGGGTCTGGCATCTGAGGCTAATACACAACTGACCACAGATGCTCGGCAATACCCTTGCCTTACTTATCCTCTACTTTGTAAAAATTTTAAACAACATATTTGTTTTCAATCAAGGTGAAATTCACATGACATAAAATTAACCAATTAAAGAGAACAATTTGGGGCCTTGAGTATATTCCCAATGTTGTGCAACCATAACCTCCTTCTAGTTCCAGAACATTCCATCACCCCAAAAGGAAGCCATGTCCCCATCGGCCATCTCTCTCCGCTCCCTCCCCAGCCCCTGGCAGCCAGAACCCCCTTCCTGTCTGGGGATGTGCCTGTTCTGGATGTTTCCCATAAATGGAATCGTGATGAACACACCCCGTGTGGGCTTCTGTGTCTGGCTCCCTCCCCGAGTGTCGTGGGCTCAGGGTCCGTCCCTGGGGCCGCGCATGTCTGCGCCTCACCCCTGTTCCCACTGAGTGACCTGCCCATGCATGGGTGGATGCATGTGTTTTTCTATTAATCTGTCGACTGACATTCGGGCGGTTTCTGCCTTTTGGCCGCTGTGAATGGCACGTGCTGTCCTCCCCCTCCTCCCCTCCTCCTCCTTACCTGGCGGAAGCGGGCCGATCCGTGATGCTTGTATCGGATCCAGTACTTGAGTGAGAAGATCTCTGGGAAGGGCCAGGACCGGGGGGGTTCCCACTGCACCCACAGCCGCTGCCCAGGGAGGGGGCGCAGGCGGACGCTTTCGGGAGGGTCTGGTTTGACTGACGGACAAGCAGGAGGCAGGGTCAGGGGCTTCTGGTAGGCTCCCTCCTTCATCCAATCAACCAACAAGTATTTATTGAGTGTCTACTGAATGTCCAGCGGCATCCTGGACACTGGGGACACAGCAGTGACCAACATAGACCCAACCCCTGTCCTCTTGGAGCTCAGTCCATCAGGGCAAAAGACAAGAAACAAGAAGCAAATCCATGGGGCATCAAGAGTAGGGAAGAAAGATCAAGAGCTATTTAACTCTAAAACATTCCATCACCCCACAAAAGATAGCCCGTCCCCATCAGCAGTCACTCACCATCCCCAGCCACTAATGCACTTCCCGTTCATGGATGAGTCTGTTCTGGACATGTCACCCACGTGGACTCACACTGTGTCCTTCTGTGTCTGGTTCCCTCCCTGAGCATCGAGTGCTCGGGGTCTGTCCCTGGGGCAGCATGTGTGGGTGCCTCGCTCCTGTTCATGACTGAGTAATGTCCCATAATATGAATGGAGCCTGTTTTGTGTATCCATTCATCTGTTGACAGACCCTTGTGTTGTTTCTGCTTTTTGTCTATTATGGATAATGTTGCCGTGAACATTACAAGTTTCTGAGTACATATAATTTCATTTCTCTGGGGTATATACCTAGTACTGGAATTGCTGGCTTATATGGTAATGTATGTTTGACTCTTTGAGGAACTACTAGACTTTCTTAATAATCACCAGCAACATAGGAGGGTTTGCAGTCTTTAATAATGTGCTCATGGGAGGGCTCACTGAGGAGATGACATCTGAGTACATGTGAGGGAGGTGAGGGAGTGAACTGTGTGGAGATCTGGGGAAGAGGTTTCCAGGCAGAGGGCACAGCCTGTGCAAAGGTCCTGGGGCAGGACCTACTTGGTATGCTGGAGGAACAGAGGAGGTGTGTGTGGCTGGAGAAGAGTGAGTGATGAGGAGGACAGGGGGAGGAGGGGAGGTCAGGGAGGGGATGGGGCAGGTTGTGCAGAACTTTGGGGGCCTTGTGGAAGACTTGGGCTTTTACGCCAGGCAGGTGGGAGCTCTGAAGGGCTGACAACAGGGGAGGGTGGGACCTGACTCGGGTGCTCACAGGCGCCCTCTGGTGGCCACCGTGGGGAGGGCAGATAGTGGGGGTGAGGGCAGGACTGGGCACCAGGGTGGAGGGGATTGAGTCAGTCCAAGCGAACATGGAGGCTGGGCTGGGTGGGGGCTCGGTGTGGGGAGAAGTGGGCGGCTTCTTGAAGAAATGCAAAGGTGGAGCCGACAGGACACAGGATGGATGGACAGGATGGATGACAGGAGGTGGGTGGTGAGAGCGGGGAGGGGCAAGCAAGCTGGCGGCCCTCCGCACCCCCCACGGCCCCGCTGCCACCCACACTCACTGATATGCTCGGGAACAAAGGGCACGAAGCTGCTGCTGCTTCCCCAGGGCTGGACCGCTGTGACGTTGAGTATATAAGGCACCATGGAGAACAGCTGGACATCTGGGATGGTGCAGCTGGTGGCCTCAGGGGTCAGCTGGAGGCAGGGCTGGCTCTCCCCGTGGGCAGCCACGCCGCGCCTGGACACGCAGGGGCAGCGTGAGGGCCTCAGCGCTTCCCGCGGGACGGGGAAGCGGGGTTACTCAAGGAAGGACCTCAGGCTGGGTCCTGCTGTTGGCCGTGTGACCCCGAGGGAGCCATTCACCCCAACATCACGGAGCCTGTGTGGACCCAGGGCCAGGGGGAACACCCTACAGGGAGACGCTAGGGTCCAGATTCTACAGGCTTCTGGAATGTCAGCATTCCAGCCTTAGAATTCCAACATTCCAAGGTCTATGGACTCACAGATTCTGAAATAAGAAGATTCTGACTGTCCTGCGTTCTGAGACCCCAAGATTTCAGACTCTAGGGACAAGCTCAGCGCTGCACATACAGCCTTCCAGAACATTCCACGTGCTCTGACCGCCCCGTCACATGCAGTAGTCACTGGCCGCGAGTGGCTGGCCGCTGTTCAAAATGTGGCTGGTGCAAGCAAGGGCGGCTTTCCGATTTATTTTATCTGCCCTCAATGTCAAGTTCCCGGTGGTCAGAAAACTTGACAAAGTTGTTCAGGATGACCCAGGTGGGTGACTCTACATTCCCACCCACAGATTTTATAGTCTAATCAGAGACCAAGAATTCCCTATGAACATCTAGCACGTGAGTTGAAATGTGCTCTATGTGTAAAATGCACGTGGAGTTTCGGGCTTAGTATAAAAAGAGTGTAAAATATCTCATTAACTTTTAACATGTTGATTACATGTTGACATGATCCTGCTTTAATCCCACTAAATAATACTAGTTTCTATTATGAATTTACATATATAAATTGCACATAAGCATGTTAAGTTGCACTCGATCCTATTAAATACATTATTTGGAATATTGAGATGATACTGAAGCAAAATATTAAAAGTCACGTCATTTCTCTTTCCTTTTTAAATGTGGCTTCTAGAAGGGTTTGAACTCCACATGTGACTCGCAGGCTGTGTTTTAGGAAGTATATCTCTATTGGCCCATGCTGTTTTGGAATTCCGAGGGTTTCGGGTACTCACTAGGCCTCCAGCTGTCCTGGCCCCAGCGTGAAACCCCAGGACACCCTCCTGGGCACTCTGACCTGTACGAGGCAATGAAGGACGTGGGCTTGGCGGAGTGTGGAGTGGGCAGCAGGGTCCAGGAGCAATCCACAGCAATCGGGTACCTAGGGGCCCAGCACCGCACCCTGGGCTGGGTGGGGGCTGCTGGGGCCCCGGAGGGAGAGGAAGCCGTGTGAGCTTCCAGCCTGCCCCGGGATTGTCGGAGCCCTACGTGTGCCGGGCCCCAGCCTCCCTGCCAGCCGTCGGCACCAGGCACACAGTAGGTGCCTAATAAAGGTTTGTGCAGCGAATGAATATATAAATGAAAGGCAGCTGCAGGGGCGCCTGGGTGGCTCAGTCGTTAAGCGTCTGCCTTTGGCTCAGGTCATGATCCCTGGGTCCTGGGATCGAGCCCTGCATCGGGCTCCCCGCTCCGTGGGAAGCCTGCTTCTCCCTCTCCCACTCCCCCTGCTTGTGTTCCCTCTCTCGCTGTGTCTCTCTCTGTCAAAAAATAAATAAAATCTTAAAAAAAAAAAAAAGGCAGCTGCATCATCTCTCGCCTCCACTACAACCTGTGAAGGCAGGGAGTATTAGCCCATTTTCCAGATGGGGAAACTGAGGTTTAAGGAACCACACAGGGGGACCCGAGTGGCAGGGAGCCCCGGTGGGAGGGAGCTGTCTCAGTGTAGCCCCTCTTCCTAGCAGCTTTGTTTAGAAGTGCATGGAATGAATGCATGTAATTAAAATGTCTCCTCTCCCTCCCTCTCTCCTTCCCTCCCCCTCTGTCCATGCTGTGGCTGCCACTTCCTGGTGTCGCTTTGCGGTGGGACTGGTCCTCTGTTTCTCCGTTTCCCCATCTGTGCAATGGGATGGCAACCCCCTCCCACCCGTGGGTTATCCAGTAGGTGTGTGAGCTCCCACCCCACAGCCCAGAATATTCCATGGTAGACAGTTCAACTCCAGTCTCCCGGTAGTGTCCTTCTGCCTTGTCCCCCAGGCCCCCGGCAGGTCCCACGTACCTTCTCTCCCGCTGCAGGGTGAGCAGCCCACCCAGAGGGCGAGCACCAGGAGAAGTCTTGAGGCCATGAGTCCGTGGGCTCTGCTGTCAGGAGCTGAGGCCGGGAGCACCTCGGGGAGGCAGGGGCCTTGGGTCCCACCCGAGGTGGTCGTGCAGCCCCTGGTCAAAGCCCCCCCTTTCCCTTCCCTGGGTCTGACTCCCTGGGCGGTTTGTGGAGCCAGCAGAGAGCTGCGCGGGGATGGTGGAGGAGCCCTGGTCCCTTCACCTGTCACAGCTGGGTTGGGCATGAGGTTCTGGAGGCCCTGGGCAAGGGGGCGGGAGAGGAGGCCTCGAAAGAGAGAAGTGGAGCCCCTGTGGCCTTTCCCACAACAGCCTGACTGCAAGTCCTTCCTTCCGGCTGCAGCGAGGACGAGGA